ATGCATGTCATAGCGGGTCATGACTGAGAAGAAAGAAAATTTAGCCATTTCAGAAACCCTCTATGCGACCCTTCCTAATGACAGTGCCACACTTCCTTCACAGATTAACCATATTCTGCATTTTATAGTCATTTCTTTATGGCTTCTCATGTAAGTACACTACAGCCACTGTGGTTATGAACTTATGGAGTTAAACATACTTGACAAATTTCGACCCATTAAAAGCCAAAGCGGTGCCACTTTTGTTTGGTTGGAATCTCTTCAAGTACTTCCACCATGCCTTCGATGGCGTCCTCGTTACATGCACGCCAGTGTATTCCAGCGTCACTTGAGGATTCCCTGCGACAGGCCTGCAATCAGCCATCTCTCAAAGATGCCCCCCTTCTTAATGGGAAAAATTATTTCCGTACCTGTGGTCGTTACATAATTTTAGGACAACTTGAAGATATATAATAGTGTAGGGGTGGTATCCAATCTGCCCATCCGGTCACAGCCTGATGGTGGCTCCTTATGGGTGTGGCCTTCTCAGAAGGAGGGCCCAGGGAATCTCCCCCTTTCTCTCTGCCTTCACCTTCTGGCTTGCTGGTCACCCTGAGAGCTGAAGGAGCCCAGCCATGTGTCCACCCACCTTGGATCCACACGACTTCGCAGTCACTGGCCTGTAAGACCCCTGCATGCTGCAGCATCGCCCTCAGACTGCATGGTCTGACGAGGGACTCGTGGATTACTACTGGACTTCAGGACTGGAGTTGGACTGGGCTGGAATGTTTCCTTGATATAAGATTACTTCTTGATATGAGGCTCTTTCTTACACATCTCTGAGTGACACTGGGTTTATTTCTCTAGCCAACCTAGTCAAACACAGTATCACAAACTTGATACCAAGGGTGACCAGCACTACTAGATTGGTGATCATTTCTAGGGCTTTTCTGTAAACAAGAGGTAGGATCTAACCACTTGCTTGCAATTGGGTATCCATACATATAAACACAAGTATGCATAGGTAAGATGCAAAAGAAATCACAGATTCAACATCACTTCAAATGTGAGGCTAGAGTGAAGGTGCCATTTACCAAGGTTAGGAAGAATCTAGGTGAAGAAAGTTTGGGGAGGGGAAGGTAAGCTATTTGGACATACTGCATTTGAGTTATCTCTAAGCCCTTCAAGCGGAGACACTGAGTAAGGAGTTGGAGATACACTCCAGGTATTCAACAGAGAAGACAGGCCTTGAGATCAATGTCAGAGTCATCAGTGGACAGGTGATGCTGCAGGCCAGAGACCAGGTAGAACCACCTAATGAGTCAATTACCTGACTGATTTTTTCATGGGATTTAATATAAAGAAAAACAGAACTATTTGAGAGCGTTAACACAAGACAAAGCTACAGCATGTAGGCTCTTTGTTTTCTGGGCTACTGTCATACCTGGTAAGCAACTTCTGCACTCACTGAATCCATGAAGCTCCGATTGGTCGGATAAAGGGCACACGCAAACATAAAATCCTGCCATATCTATCAGATAAAACAAAAGGCAAAATTTCCATAAATTTTGTTACACAGAGAATTCTTCATTTGGAACTTTAGAGTTATTTTTGTACACCAGTGGAAAGAATCCATTTCTCCTGATGAATGTGATTCTTTCAGCACCACCACTGAGGCAAGGCACTCATGAAGGAGGAGAGGCTCGGGTCTCCTTGCACAAATCGTATCCAGGAAACCTGAGATGAGACGATGTGAGGAAAGCTAAAAGGATGATACGAACTGCGAGTTCAACAAAGGAAATGAGTTTGTCAGGGGATATGAAAGACGCTTCTCAGTAGCCCTGAAAAAATGACAACCATGATGTGGTGAAACTGCACATATAAACAGCATACTTAGAACAATGCCTGGCACTCAGTAAATGCTACATAATATCATTAACATTGCCACATGCATCAGGCGAAACTGTTCGCTATAGCTCACGCTCACCTTACTGACTGGGAGCTCTGATCCTGTCAGAGATTATATACTTGTTTCCGTCAGAAGCTGCGAGGGCCTTGGGAGAAAGACACGGGCCAGAAGAACCTTTGATGTGATGAAAAATGTGTTCACTACAGATTAGTAAGTGAGCACAAGTAATCCCATGCGTGTTTGCTTATACTGGATGTACCAGATGGCTCAAAATCATAGCTTACAGAATTTGCTTTTCTATGATTATAAATGAGTTAACTTTTCATGACTGGAAGGATACCCAGTCATTGAGTTGATTCTGGCTCATATGAGCCTATATTTTCACAGCCAGATTCCAACTCATAGCAACACTGCAAAGCAGAGCAGAACTACTCCTTTGGGTTTCCAAAGATACAAATCTTTATGGTAGCAGAAAGTCTGAATGCTCCCCGATAGAGCAGGTGGTGAATTGGAACTGCTGACCCTGCAGTAATCAGCCCAACCCACAGCCCACTAC